GTAGCATACTGGGCCCATTGCTTTTCCTATTATACATAAATGACCTTCCAAAAATATTGAAGTACTCAAATATTTTAATGTACATTAAATTTTGATTTTTATTCGCGCAACAAAAACAGGCTAGTTTTAGCAGTTTTCCTCACATCTTCTTTTTACAAACATGAGAACAATAATAAAACAAAAATTCTAATTCCATAATACTAGTCGTTTATTAGCTTGTTAGCCACTTCATTAATTAAACTTACAGACCAATCTTTCTCTGAATGCACCTGAAAGTTTTTTGAACACCTTTTAATCAAGTTGCTGAGGAGGTAAATGGTGAGCTAATTTGATAATATTAAGACTTCCAGGGAGAAAAATCTTAAAGTTTAAGTGACATAAATTTATTTTAAATATCTATTTGTCACAATCCATCAAACTGGCCTAAATTTTCTACTCTATTTGCTTCATTTCTTCAACTTAAAGATTTTTTTCCCGCAAATAAAGAGGGCTAACATCAGCCTGCATAGTTCTGCCTTTAAATCTTTATCCAAATAGTTTCTAACATTACATGAATATGGTCTATTTTTTTGTCCTAAAATCCTAAAAACATTAATAAATGTTAAAAATAATTGAATATATATTGGCCACAAAAGCCCCCACTAACAAACTCAAAGTGGCCCATGGGCCAGCAGTTGATCACAGTTGTAGCACGTTTTGGACACATTTTATTTAGTGAGTGAAGAGGCAGAAATGGCTCTTTAAATGGTAATGGTTGCACATCAGGACTGTGGAGAGTTCACATTGAGGTCAGATGGAAGTCGCATTTGAAATATAATGGGAACGTTCATGCAAAAATAAATGATTTTTTAAGAAGAAATCATTTATTGTTTTTTTGTTTGTTTGTTTGTTTGTTTTTTTTATTACACATTTTTAGGAAGGACTCTTTTGGGCCTTCATGTAAAAAGTGCAAGTTTTTTTTCTGACCGGTCATTACTCCAAAAAATAAAATCAATGTTATGAATTACTGACCCAGTAAAGCAGGGCTATTCAATTAAATTGCTCTGGGGGCCACAGTTAATGCAGACCAAAAGCTCAGGGGCCGAACATCCAGCAATTAAAGTTATGTAAATAAACTAAGTATTACAAAGATCCATTACCTTTGAAATAGTTTATTTTGCTGTTTTTAATCATGAAAACATACAGAACCCTATTTAATAAATGTAGTGATAAAAAAAGAAACATATTATGCCTCTTATTTACCACAAAATATTTTGACATCTCTGACTTGCCAAATTTTTAAAACAATTTTATTTTCACTTTCATAGTTTTATCTTCAACTGCTTGTAGTTTTAACTGTCTTGGATGTTCATAGAAATGGATTTTACCAACTATCTATCTATGTTTAACTAAAATACCTTAGAGTAATTAAAGTAGAAAACCGGGGGCTTAAGAGATGAGTGAACCAATTGGCGGGCCGTACTTTGGTCACTCGCGGGCCACCGCCAGTTGAATAGCCCTGCAGTAAAGGCTGTAATAAAGTCTGCACCTTATTTTTTGAAAATAATGCATATACTGTGTTTTTCTCATAGAGAAATTCACTTTAATTAGGTCAGAGGTTTTTTTTTTTTTTTAAAGATTTGATGCAGTGAAAAAACCCCAATATTAATTATATTTTTGATGGACTTTTATGAGAGGGGCCATTTTGACCTTCAGGTATTAAGTGTTTGGTGACTTTAAAACCGCCTCAATGGTTAAATAGCCGAATTTCAGACATCTGCAAATTAGAGTCTGCACCCACCCAGGAGTTGTAGATTCAGTTCAACATTCTTTAACTTAACAGTGAAAACGAGGTTCTTGTCTGCAAACAATGAACCTTGTTTGTTTGTTTTTGGGGTTTTTTGTGTTGGGACCTATTTTATTGCTGAGATGCTGAGATTCAGTGTTGTGCATT